TTAGTGAAAAAACATAGTAATAATTTGCTATTAATACAATAATTTTATGAAAAAATTATAATTTTTTACTAATGATAATTCACGTAAAAGAGAAATAAATATTTAATAATTTTTATCACAATTTGTTTATTATTTTTTTTTTTTAAAAGATGAGTATGTAATTTTTTCTTTTAAAAATATCGTCATAAGATATATAAAATATTATAAATATATATAATTATTATTTGTTAGCAGAATACTTATTTGTACTATGTATTTATAATGCTATTTCTATTTTAAATCATCAATTTACTTCAGATATATTATGGATGTTAAAGAATAATATGCATTCTGGTCCACGTCCTAATAGTAGTGGTTCTTGTCTACTAATTTTTTTTTTTTATTTATCCAAAATAACAAGTAAAATATTTCTTTTGTATTCCACATTAAGACCAAACATTATTAACAGTGCGTGAGTTTGTTTTTAAATGATTTAAAGAATAAAAATATACACATATAATATGTTTTAAATGCAATTTATTCTAGAAAAATCTTGAATTAAAAATAATGTGTTAGTAAAAAATATAAAAAATTTTATGCTTAATAAACTGATTCTATATTACTCTATTAAGATATTATAATATCAGACAAAAAAAAATATAAAACTTTAGATATATTAAAATTACCCAGACACCATATATAATCCAAAATATAATATTATATAATTTTCACAAAAATTATATTTATTATACAATCAACTTATGAATAAAATATATATGTATAATGTTAATATAAATATTTATATATAATGTAAAATACTATTTGAACACTGGATCATATAAGTAGATATATATAATTAATATATTACTACATATTATGTATCCAGCATAAATCAAATTCAAGTTATATTTATAAATACATGTTAATGAATATGTTATTTTTTACAAAATATAATTAAAATTACTACAACCTTAATCATAACCTAATTCTTTATGAGGACATCCTAATGGTTTATATTTTGCGTTTGATCATTAAGAGTACGACGAATTTATCACATTTAATCATATATATACTTAGTTATTTAAAATGCTTATTTTCAGTTAAATACATGGAAAAATCATGGAATTTATAATAACTTATTTATTTTTTATTATTTTCAAATGAAAAATTACTAAAATGAAAGAATAACAGATAACTTATAGTTCTATACTTAACCAATAATGTGCTATGTTGTGTGGAGAATTGAAATATATATAATACGTATTTCTATATGTTAAAAAATATATTCCAATATAGATATAATTTTAATATACAGAAGTTGGTTTGTCATATAATGCTTTATGCATTATTTATTTTTAACTTTTTACGTATTTTACAAAATATCTACAGTATATGTTTAATTTATCATGTATTGAAAATAATTCATTGTACACATCCATCTATTTTAAAAATAGGACAATGAGTAATGAAGTATTTATATCAATGACCCTATTGGCCCTTTGTTACTTATTAGATAATTTATAATATGTTGTTCACAAAAAAAAATTTATAAATGTAATTGCTCATATACATTGTTAAATGTTCTAATTTTTTGTAATTATATGTTTATTATTAAAGTAATATTGTTATGATAAATATATACATATAATATAAATTACCTTATATTCATTTAAGAATCTAATATAAATTATTGGTTTTGCACCATAGAAACGTATCAATCATTTAATAACTACAAAAAATATTATAATTGAAAAATATTATATAATATTAGCAATATAATGAAAATTTAAAAACTATTATTCTTAAAAGTAAGTAATATGTACAATCGAGGCTATATATTATTATGTATACCAATATGTATATTTATAAAACATATACACAATGATTATATCTTTTTCTTTAAATATTGTATGCATAATAAATCATATTCATATTCATGAACGAATTGTATATATATTTTTTTTAATATATATATTGTGCTTATGGAATTATTAAATTTTCCTATAAAAATATATTTATATAATAATTTTATATATCCCATTATTACAACACATCTTTTGGAAAATTATTTGTCTATTTTTCATATTATTTTTTTTATTAATACAAAAACAAACTAAAGATTATTTAATTCTAATATAAATTCCATAAGCTTCAATCTTATCAATAAATGCTTGACATATCCAACTTATGCATTATAATAACTTCTTTATTATAATATTTACTGAACGAACTTTAATAATTTCATTAAAATATCATGACTAACTTAGCATTATATTTTAGACGGCTGCAAAATCAAGTCTGCTTCTTTTTTATATATTTTAAAAATTAATTTTATGTGACAAAACGCATATTGAATTTTATATAACACTTCACAACGTGCAAATCTCTATTTATTAATATAAATTTTATATGTTTCTTCTTTGATTTAGTATCCCTTTTTATGGAATGTATGGGATGCTCATAATAGTTTCGATGAAATTGTGGATCTATCTGATAGAAACAAATTGTATCATAAATTCTGTAAGTCAATTATAAGTCTTGTAAGGACGAATAATGATTTGCACTATGCTGTCTGTGCCAAACTTGTAAGAAATTTAAAATTATTTAGTGATAAACGAGATGAATCCAAGTTTCAACATAAAAATTGTAACAACTTAAACAACTGGTTATATATTTCCATAAGAAAACATAATCTGAATCCACACTTTTTTAGTCATATATTCAAATTGATTAAAAAAATATCTCCCAATCTAGCATATCAGAATGAGTGCCTATATTATTTCTACGATAATAATTATTTACAACCGCTTTCCATTGTAATGCTAAATATATTTAAGTCTAACATAGGTCTTATTAGGGATACATTGATAGGGAGTAAGGATAAAATTTACTGCAGTTGTCAAGATTTTGTCTATAAATTGGTAAAGGCATATAGGGATATTAATAGTAAATATTGCACTGTAGGCAGTATTAAACATAGAGGGGTTAAAGAAAAAACATGTTCATTTTTAAGAAGTTTTGAGATAGCATATGATACATATCTTATAAAGGATGAATCAATACAAGCAAAAAAAATACAACTACCACCTTTAAAGCCTGAAGAGAATATGGAATCATTCCTTTGTAAACCAGATGATGAAATTCAGCGATCCATAGATATAGATAAAGCACGAATGCCACATGAAGAACCTGTAGACTTAGTTGAACCAGAATTCGAAGAAGAAATAATATTACCAGAAGACTCTGAAACATTAATGGCAAGTGTATCAATAAAAAAAATTTTATCTACAGCTATTGTTACTACTTCTTCAGTGTTTTTCCTTTTTTTTTTAATGTATAAGGTGAATATAAAATCCTTTTAAAAATATGAACTATATAGAAAATTATTTTCACCTTATTCTCTAATAATAAATAAAAAAAATATATAATATTAAGAAATACATGAAATTTTTATTATCATTTTTTTTAGTTTACCCCAATTGGCAACACGATTCGTTCCAAAAATAGAGTAAAAGTAATAAGAAATGCTTATGAAGCAGATGATGAAAAGAACATATACCCAGTACATGATCATATGGATATAAACACATACAATCAGAGATATAACATAGCATATGTAAATATATGAACGTAAAAATCCCAATATAATATTCAAAAAGTTTATTGGTATAATAATTATTATGAAATCATTTAAATATCAATTATAATATAATTCAGGTAAGAAAATTGAACTACCAGAAATGTGCAACAATTTAAAATATAAAATAACACCATTATTGGAATTAATCATAAAAAATAATTTTGTATAAAAAAGGTTCTTTAATGTACTATTTTTATGGAGATGTTATAAAAGCAAATTATCAATAAAACAAAGGTCTAAAATAATAAAAGAATAAAAAATGGAATGATGAGTAATATAAGTATAATATAAATTTTTATTATTTAAAATTAATATTGAAACATGCTAAGTAGTGTATATAACTTACACAAATTATATAATCGAAAAAATATAATATATTTTAAATATAATAATGAGAATTTTAAATTAAAACATATCGATATTATTGTTCTCATACGATAAAATTAAATACTATTAATTACTCCAAAAAATAATACTTTGATATGAATAACAGACAATAAAATAGGTAGGATACATATATTTTTCAATAGTTGATAGATTATACAAGGGTAGTAGTTTTAACAAACAATTATATATAATACTATTTATTAAAAAAAAATTTTAAATTCCTATATAATTTCATTAAGTATCACATAATAATGCAGTTTTAAATTCGACATAAAATAACTATATATAAAAACAATATAACAAAGAAAAAACTTAGTGCACATTATTACAATTATAAATTTTTTTTATAGCATCATTTTAAAAGTAAGATATCTGATGTATCCATTAGATTATCCCGTCGTCTTTGTTGCTTATGATCAAAAAATTATTCGTAAATAATGTATACGTTGTAAAGATGAAATAATAAAAATACATATAATAATTCATTTTTTATTAAAAATATATTCAAATACTATTTTATCTATGGTGAAATTACTACTAATGACGTAAGATTTATGTTTTTATTTCTATATATCCCGTATGTAGTAATCTTATATTTATAAATTCAATAAAAAGGGATAAAATAAAATAACATTTAAATAATATAATGCAGTAATTTTTTTATATAAAATCCTTATTATTTATTATCTAAAATATTGAATAGAAAAAATATGTAAATAATATTAAATTTGGTGTAATTAATAATTAAAAACTCCTTATTATATGATTTCCATGACAACATAAAAATATTCTGGGAGTAAATATAAAAAATATTAGCTAAATGTGACTTATTTATGTGAAATGGAATAAAAGTAGTGTTATTTTTTTTATTACACGTTAGATGTGATTCCTTTATGTAATTAAGTAAATTTATTAATAATTTTTGTATATGTATAAAATAAAATTATATTATAAAAAAAAAAGAAATACATTAATAAATAAGCCATTAGTGTAAAAATAAATAATCCAATTAAATTCTTTCAATTATAATCAATATCATATCCTGAAATAATATAATTCTGTGTTTATATTGCTAAAATAATTCATGGTAAAAATATTATGATATAATAATAATTAAATTATAATAAATATCACGTAATAAAAGCGCATATGTAACAATTATATGTGCATTAATTTTTTTTTTTTTTCCATAGATTAACATATATCACATATAATATATAGAGCTTATGGAAAAATATATCCATATGAAAAATATTTATATATAAATTAATACATTAATTTATAATACATAATTATGAAATAAAAATTAATGTATAATACACTATTATAAAAACATATTTTATGATACATATTAATAATTAGTGAAAATTCCGACAATGTAATATAAAAAGCTTTTATTACTTTTTACGTAATAAAAAAATAAAACCAGTCAAGAATAAATAATGTAATTATTAAAACATCTATCAATGTATTAAAAGAAAAAATGAAAACATCACTTATTTGCAAGTATATCTTATGTATTCCATTACTTTATATTTATTCTAATTAACTTATCATTCTTTACGATTAGCTGTAATATATAATTCATCATTTTAATATTCATGTTTTGTAAACTTCACTGAATTTTGTTCTATACATAGTAAGACATATTTTCATATATAGTTTAAATTTAATTTAGTAAGTGATGCATTATTATATGAAAAAATTATCCTCTCATATTTCTTATAATCTCTTGATACGAAAAAACAACTATTACAGAACATGTAAACAATACTGCAGAAATGTTATAGCTAAATTCTATGGTATGCCTAATGTTGTAAAAAAAATTTGCAGAAGCATTACCTTAATTAGAAACATAATTGTCAAAAGCATATGATGCAGAAAAAGAGATGATTGAACTCTTATTTATATTTGTATATATTGCAATATAAATACAATTTATGATTATAATGAATACTATAAAATTACTACTTCATAAAAAGCAATTGAACGTTCTAGGAATGCTTTTTTAATAAAAAACACGAATGTGTCAATGTTAATATCTACTGTGTAAATCCATTTCTATCATTGCTGATGATACTAAATGGGAATATATAAAATAATTATATGATTATTATGTTGATATTAATAATATTTTAAATATTTATATATGGAATAACTATTATAATATGTCCAACTTTCTTCAATCATGTGATCCAAAGAAAATTCACAGTACTTGTAAATTATGAGACATAATGGTATAATAAAGAGGACAATATAATATTCTCAGAAATATATAAAAAATGATAAAAGAATCCTGCATAAAAGATCCTAAACAAGTTTAATTACAATGAATATTTAGAATAAATAAAGTTTATAAAAAAAAAAAATCTAAACACAATATAAAAATTCAATGCATTTTCTAAATATTTTTTTGAAAAGCGTGTGTCAAACAATCAGTCAAAAAAAAAATGCATCTTCCTTTAAAGAGAATTAAATTACCTTTCTAAAATTATATGGAAATAAAAAAAAATTATGATTATGTATAACTTAAATATGATAGATCTCAAACGGTAGATGCTATAGGGAATGAAACACTGGTAGTAGTTTTTATTTCTGTACATTTGGGAATTTCAAATAAAATAAAAATTTATTTAATTCCAACATTTATATAAAATAATGTGTATATCAGTTTGTAGTTTGTAACTCTATGTGATAAAAAAATATATTGTATAAATTTTATATTGTGATTTATATACCAGTATACAACACGAGTGAAAATTATACATAATAATCTTGCAAAAAAAAAAAAAAATTAATAGATTTAGTCTAAAATATGAAGACAGAAAATTATCTGATTATGCATCAGAAACTTACAAATCACTTGAGTGTAAAAAATAATATAATATATAATATCATTTTATGTAAATTAATTTAATTCAAAAAAGTAAAATGACTATTACGTTAAAATGGACAGTAAATGAAATAAATATAAAACTTTTATAAACATTACAGTGGAGCATATAAATAAAAAGTAAAATATAATAATAAGTATAAATTAGAGTAACGAATATAATTATGTAAAGGATATATATTTATTAAGTAGAATAAATTAATATTATTAATATATCTTTTATTTAAATTAGCCTTAATGATTATTCGTGATTATATTTCTTCATTACACTTTATATAATGAACCTTTTCCTCTATAAAATATATAACATTTATTTTCATAAATCTTATATTTACAAGTAAGCAGATTTTCCAAGCAATATTTAATAATATATAATGAATAAAAAAATATAGTATAAATTTATATATTATAGATTTCGTCACATCTTTTTTATAATTATAATTGAATCTTTTTATTACGTTCTTTTGAAATTGTATATGTAACATATTAGCATATGAATTAAATTTACACGAGACAAATACTGGCACATTGGACTTTTTTAATATTATATAATATAAACAAGTGAATAATATTTTTTATGCACTTTGATTGTCACTCTTAAGGTATTAGTTATTTTTTATTTAAATAAAAGTAACATAAAATATTCATATGCTATTTATCAATTTTTTTTGTTTTATAAAAAGGTTGTATATGATTTAATAGTTTCTTAATCCAATAACTGTTTTTCTTATTTTTAATAAATAATTCTATATTTTTTACATTAATAGTATTAACTATTTATCATTTAAATCATAATAATTATATTATAAATATGCATGAAAGGACACAAATTAAATGAATGCAATATGTATCAAGGTATCCAATAGAAAAAACATAGGTGATTTTTGTTAACAAAGTATCAATTTGTATTATTCATTAATAGAAGGATAATATATAATTCTATTCATATAGTGTTCTATCATTATGAATATGATATTTACACATTAATATTCAGGGAAATTTTATATTTTACATATATATATTAATTTAAAAAATGTAACGTTCATATCTTGTAAAAAATGAATTAATGTTAAATGATTCAAAAAAAATATTATAAAAAATATTTCACACTGTAGTCTAATTAAGAAAAAAAAATTAAATTATTATAGTTGTAAATATCTATTTAAAGAAGTTAAATATTTTCCAAAAAAAATGTTATTTGAATAAAATGAATTTACAGTATTGCTGAATAGATATATATATACCATTCCTCTTAACATATAGAATAAAAGTGAGATTTTCTAGTACGTATAAAATTAAAACATTATTTAACATAATTCTTAATCAAAAATACATTTACACTTCTGAGTATATTAATATCCTTGAATTTATTCACATATTTTTAATTAACATTGCACAGTTTGAAAATTTTGGAATTAAGATATTTCCAATAAATTTTTATTTCTCAAAAAATTATAGTTCACAAAATGAAAAAAATTACATATACGTAAAACATTTTAACTATCATATTCCAGATAATATTAATTATTATATTAAAAATATATATTAAATGAGTTATGAATTCCAAAAAAAATAATAATATATGTATTAAGATAAATTTACTGTAAAACATTGTGACTTGAGATATCATATATTTATTTGTTATGTAAATTGTCTATGCTCGTTTGTATATTAATAAATATTGCAAAAAAAAAAAAAAATAAACAGC